CCTTCTTTATGGTCCAGCTCTCACTACCAATTATCAAATATCCCAAGAAGGTATTATCCCTATTTTAGACAGGGAAACTCACAGATTTATGGCAATAGAATACATTTTAGGAGGGGAAGAGTAATTTATTTTAAAATTCTATTGCTAAAAAAAGCAAACACGGTAACTTGCAGAACTTTGCATACCTCCTGTGGTGGAACAGAAACATGCACATAATGATATTATCACTTCCTACAACTGTAGTCATTTCTCCATCTATTCAAGCAAACTAGGACTAACACCCTTCCTTCAAAGAAGAAGAACAGGGCATATTGTACCCACAATGTGGCAAAGACTATAGTACTCATACTGATCTGTATGTCCATGTGGCCAACACAGCTACAAATGAGGCAGTTGGCAAGGGAAGTCCCTGACCGCCTCAGGACTGCTTCCAGTGAAAACAGTAGAAGAATTACTAATCCAGCTAGAGCAGGATTCTTCTTGACAAATTTGAACTACATAATAACCAATGCAATGCTGGGAGTTACTTCTTCTAAAACAGGGTTGATAGTCTTCTAATGCCAGGGAAGACTGTATACATTGGCAGTAGAAACTGCCAAAGGTGCTGCTGTGACCAGATTAAGCACTTCCTGAATAAGATGCCGTTACCAGCACTGGCCACCTCCAATGAGGACAGGCATGCATTTACCTACACTGCTTACACCTGCTTACTGCAGCAGCTAGCATTCCTTTTCCTCCAAGACAGCTGTCTCTTATTGCCACACCCTAGGCTCCTCTGGTCTCCTATTGATCTCTGAGATGTGCACTCAGTCACATAGTACAAACTGATGATGCCATCAATGACTGTGACAGGAATAATACTCCACAGAGATGCAGTATAGAGCCATCTAGAACGGCAGGCAGGATCCTGGGCACTGAAGAAAATCATCTGGTAGGCCAGATGCTCCTTGCGAGCTGCTGGCATCCCACAGTCTCTAAGCATGTGTTTGGGTGAAGAGAAACGTTTTCTTGGTGACCCTCCTCTAAAATCTGCAGCCCAGAGAGCTGAACTGATCTGCCTTGCAGACCTGGTGAAAAGCTACTGATGCCTGTGCTGAGGCCTTCTTTGCCCTGCTTCAGACTGTAGCAAATTTCAGCCACTACATCCTAATCCACTAAATATGTATCAGGATTGAAAGAGGATGCCCACAGGCCTCTCCGTCTAACTAGAGGGCTATAGCTATAATTAAAGCACAGTGCTTAAATCTGTACCGCAGCCAGTGTGGAAATTTCCAACAGTGATACAGATGTGATCTTTCTTTATATAAAATGAGGTTGTCAAAATGAATGTTAAAAGATTCCGTGAGAATTGGAAATATGGGGGTATTTTTAAGTAAGAGCTTAGACTTTTAAACTTTTTAAAAAGGAGATGAGAGAAATATTGGGACATACTAGAGTTCATCATCTTTTCAATGTAGGACTCAGCACGACATTACTACATGCATACAAATTCCGATAGGCTTCAGAAGGAGGAAAATTTAAATCCATATTAACTATACACCACCATGAAAAGTGGAAAGCTGCAAAAAAGAAAAGAAAAAAATAGTTCATAGGATGATCAAATTGGAAGGGGCCTTGGGGTCATCTGGTTCAGCTCCATGCAGGATCTACAATGAAGAATGCAACAACATCCCTGATTCATGGTCCCTGCATAAATACCAGCAGTAGAGGAAAGCCCACGGTCTCTCAAGGCAGACTGCTCTACTGTTGAACAGCCCCTTACTGCAGAGCTTTTCGAACTTTTCATGTTGGTGGCAAAAATTTTAGACATCATTTCACGACACAACAATTCAGTTTTGCTAGCAAACTGGAGATTAAACTAACCCCATTCCAGTTCCGAGAGGAGCTTTCGCACGACAAACCTATACACTGCAGCTTACACGCTAATGTGTCATGACACACAGTTTGGAAAGCTCTGCCTTATTATTTTCTCCAATGCTTACTCAAAATCTGTTTCCCTGCAGTTCCCACCCATTGTTTATAATTCTTCCCTCTAGAGGAAAGTAATATGTACATTTCAGAAGCAGGTCATTTAGTAGGGTAGCACTGCTTTCTGGCAGGTGGGTTGCTGTTGATTTCCAAGAGAGGAGAGGCAAGGCAGAAGAAAGGTCATAGAATCATAGAATCATAGAATCATAGAGCTGGAAGAGACCACAAGGGCCATCGAGTCCAACCCCCTGCCAAGCAGGAAACACCATCAGAGCACTCCTGACATATGGTTGTCAAGCCTCTGCTTAAAGACCTCCAAAGAAGGAGACTCCACCACACTCCTTGGCAGCAAATTCCACTGTCGAACAGCTCTTACTGTCAGGAAGTTCTTCCTAATGTTTAGGTGGAATCTTCTTTCTTGTAGTTTGGATCCATTGCTCCGTGTCCGCTTCTCTGGAGCAGCAGAAAACAACCTTTCTCCCTCCTCTATGTGACATCCTTTTATATATTTGAACATGGCTATCATATCTCCCCTTAACCTCCTCTTCTCCAGGCTAAACATGCCCAGCTCCCTTAGCCGTTCCTCATAAGGCATCGTTTCCAGGCCTTTGACCATTTTGGTTGCCCTCCTCTGGACACGTTCCAGTTTGTCAGTGTCCTTCTTGAACTGTGGTGCCCAGAACTGGACACAGTACTCCAGGTGAGGTCTGACCAGAGCAGAATACAGTGGCACTATTACTTCCCTTGATCTAGATGCTATACTCCTATTGATGCAGCCCAGAATTGCATTGGCTTTTTAGCTGCCGCGTCACACTGTTGGCTCATGTCAAGTTTGTGGTCAACCAAGACTCCTAGATCCTTTTCACATGTACTGCTCTCAAGCCAGGTGTCACCCATCTTGTATTTGTGCCTCTCATTTTTTAGCCCAAGTGCAATACTTTACATTTCTCCCTGTTAAAATTCATCTTGTTTGTTTTGGCCCAGTTCTCTAATCTGTCAAGGTCGTTTGAAGTGTGATCCTGTCCTCTGGGGTGTTAGCCACCCCTCCCAGTTTGGTGTCATCTGCAAATTTGATCAGGATGCCCTTGAGTCCATCATCCAAGATGTTGAATAAGACCGGGCCCAAGACAGAACCCTGTGGCACCCCACTAGTCACTCTTCTCCAGGATGAAGAGGAACCATTGATGAGCACCCTTTGGGTTCGGTCAGTCAGCCAGTTACAAATCCACTGAGTGGTAGCATAGTCAAGACCGCATTTTACCAGCTTCTTTACAAGAATATCATGGGGCACCTTGTCAAATGCCTTGCTGAAATCAAGGTAGGCTACATCCACTGCGTTCCCTTCATCTACCAGGCTTGTAATTCTGTCAAAAACGAGATCAGGTTAGTCTGACATGACTTATTTTTCAGAAATCCATGCTGACTATTGGTGATCACAGCATTCCTTTCTAGGTGCTCATAGACTGTTTGCTTAATGATCTGCTCCAGAATCTTCCCTGGTATTGATGTCAGACTGACTGGGCGGTAATTATTTGGGTCATCTCTTTTCCCCTTTTTGAAAATAGGGACAACATTTGCCCTCCTCCAGTCTGCCGGGACTTCGCCTGTTCTCCAGGAATTCTCAAAGATGACTGCCAGTGGTTCTGAGATCACATCTGCCAGTTCTTTTAATACTCTTGGATGCAGTTCATCTGGCCCTGGAGACTTGAATACATCTAAACTAGCCAAGTATTCTTGTACTATCTCCTTAGTTATTCTGGGCTGTGTTTCCTCTGCTGAATCATTTGCTCCAAATTCTTCAGGTTGGGCATTGTTTTCTTTATCGGAGAAGACTGAGGCAAAGAAGGCATTGAGGAGTTCAGCCCTTTCTGTGTCCTCTGTTTGCATTTCACCATCTTCTCCTCAGTGACCCCACTGTTTCTTTGTTCTTCCTTTTGCTACGAACATACCCATAAAAGCCTTTTTTGTTGCTTTTAACCTCTCTAGCAAGCCTGAGTTCATTCTGTGCTTTAGCTTTTCTGACTTTGTGTCTACATGTGCTGGCTATTTGTTTGAATTCCTCTTTGGTGGTTTCCCCTTTTCCATTTTTTGTACACATCCTTTTTAATCTTAACTCAGTTAAAAGTTCTTTAGATAGCCACCCTGGCTTCTTTAGGCACCTTCCATGTTTCCGTCTCATTGGTATTGCCTGAAGTTGTGCTTTTACTATCTCCTCTTAACAAACTCCCAGCCATCATGAACTCCCTTTCCTTTTAGTATTACTGTCCATGGGATCTCACCCAGCACTTCCCTAAGTTTTATGAAGTCGGCTTTCTTAAAGTCAAGAAATTGAGTCCTAGTATGCTTGGCTGCTCCTTTCCGCTGTATAGTAAACTTCAGAAGAGCATGATCACTCGTGCCTAATGATCCTTCCACTTCTACCCCACTAACCAGGTCATCAACATTGGTTAGGACCAGATCTAAAATGGCTGTTCCTCTTGTTGCTTCTCCCACTTTCTGGACAATGAAGTTGTCTGCAAGGCCAGTGAGGAATCTGTTTGACCTTATGCTCTTGGCTGAGTTTGACATCCAACAAATATCCGGGTAATTGAAGTCCCCATTACTACTATCTCCCTTCCTTTTGCATGCTTGGCCATCTGTTCCAGGAAGGCATCATCTATGTCCTCCGTTTGGCTTGGGGATCTATAGTAAACTCCCACAATGAGGTCACTGTTATTCTTCTCTCCCTTAATTTTGACCCAAATGCTCTCACTTTGGCTTTGAGGTTCTAAATCTTGGATCTCTTCACAGGTATACACATCCCTGACATATAACGCCACTCCTCCTCCTTTCTTGTCTGGTCTGTTTCTCTGAAATAGATTGTATCCCTCCATTATTACATTCCAGTCGTGGGACTTATCCCACCAGGTTTCAGTGATGCCTATTATGTCATATTTAGTTTGCTGTACCAAGAGCTCAAGCTCATCTTGTTTATTTCCCATGCTTTGCGCATTAGTGTACAGACATTGAAGTCCATTAATCATTCCCCCGTGTCTCTTATTTAAGGATTTTTTCCTCCCACCACTAGGTCTGCGTGCTATTTGCTCCATTTGGGCTATGACATTTGGATGATCATCTTCATCAATTGATAGACTCCTACCTTCAGGAGCACTGTCTCCTCCCCCACATTAGTCAGTTTAAAGCCCTCCTGATGAGGTTTCTGAGATTTTTGGCAAAAACATTCCTCCCAACCATTGTGAGGTGCAGCCCATCGCTTGCCAGAAGTCCATCTTCAAGAAACTGCAGTCCGTGATCTAAGAATCCAAAGCATGGTGCACATGCACCAACACATCCATTCTATTACTCCTGCCCATGGTGCACATGCACCAACACATCCATTCTATTACTCCTGCCCATGTGTTCGCACTATGCCAACCTCTGTGGCATCTTGTCCCTCCCTTCTCTCTCTCCTAGTAAGCAGCAGCAACCCACCAGCCAGGAAACTAGGCTAGTACCGTGACTCTGCTCCACCCAGTGACACACTTCTGGCACATATTCTTTCTTTGCAGTGCCTCATAACAACCCTAGCCTCACTCGTCCTCACACAAAGATTCAATCTCTCTCCCTTCATCCTCCTCATAGACAGCAAATACCCATTCCCTCTCACACATCCACTCTCCCCCGTAGTCTGCTGTCACATACACACCCATTTCACTCATTTTCACACAAACATATATCATCTACCAAACCACTGTCTACAATGATTTTGAGTGCATCCTGCCCCACAGATGGCAAAATCTTGGGTCCAGGAGATACCATATCCTTTAAATGTGGTATGGTCCTTTATGAGATGGTAAAGTTGACTTAAATTTTTCTTATGGGGGCAGCTTTCCTCCCCCACCTGAAAGAGCCCCCACATAAAAATTGCAGAACTTACAATATGAGAGAAAATATTTCAAACCTAGCATTTTCTCTGATACGGCATCTCTGAAAATATGTCACACAGGAGCTATTTCAGATAAATGAGGTGGTAAAGTCACTGTGTGCAGATTTTACAGACTTGGAAAGAAATGTGTAAACTGGCCCTGAGCCAATTATATATTTGAAGTGTTAAAAAGGGGCTAGCCAGGTTTTAAGTGAAAAGTCAATGGGTGACTGAATTATTAAAGCACAAAATGCTTCTGAAATAGTTGCATATTTGAAAGACAGGTTGCTAAAGCAAACATTGTAGGTGAAAAAAAATAACATGAATGTTTTATATCAACACTTGGGACAGAAATAAAAAAATGAAATCATTTCTAGGATGCAAGAATTGGATAATTCCATCCTTATGCTTTACCTAGCAAAACCAAAACAATGCCAAAACCTATAATTAAATGTGAGAGTAGTGAGGAGAATATTAAGTGAGGTGTACTTTAAAGACAAACATTCAATTGACCTTTCTTGTCAGCTCTTCCCATTTGCTCCTGAAGCAGGACTGTCCATTAGTCCTAAACCAACCAGCAATAGTCCAAAGTAATAACTCCACCAAGAGAAAAAACCCCAACCAAAACAGGTCAGAAAAAAAGGATACTATCCTCTAAGAATTAGGAATATATAGAAAACTGTTTCCATCATTTGCCTCGGATTCTGGGGATACCACATCAGAGCTGTCAATGTTTCCCTTTTTTAAAGGGAAATTCCCTTATTCCGAATAGGATTCCTCGCAAGAAAAGGGAAAAGTTGACAGCTATGTACCACATATACTATTCTCAAACAGAAATACAATTCCAAGTGTAAAAGAGATCTTGTGTTTTGAACGCCTGGGCCTACCTGGCAACAAGTCAGCATGTCGTCCAAAGTTCAAAGTCTGGAGGTCAAGCCACACAAGCAAAATCCAAAGGTCAGGAAACACAGTCCAAGGTCAATCCAAGTAGCCAAGTCTGAAGTCCAGCAGTCAGGATACAGCCCAGAATCAAACCCCAAACCCAGTCCGGTAGAGGTCCAACAACATCCAAAACAAGGTCCCTCAACATGGGCAGTTGAGTAACAGCAGTTCAGCTCTGCCTATTGCAGCATCTGGGCTTTGATGAGGCATGGGACCTTCACCTGTGCTAAACCTACTCCAGCTGAGGAATCACACGCCTCCTTCTAGCACTAGGAAGCTGGGCTGTGGGCCCTCGATTGCCTCAGCCTTCTAGAGTGTTCCTCCCACCTCAGAGCCCACTGTGGTCATGGAGATAGGGGCCTCTCTGGCTCTGGTTATGGGTTCTGGTTCCTGTGCACGGATCCCCATCCCTTCACCATTCTCCATCACCCTGTGAGTTCTTCCTTCTCCATCCCGTACTTGCCCCAATGTTTCTCGGTCCTGGCTACACCCCTTGCCTCCTCCCTGTCGTCTTGCCAAGTTTTAAGTGGAAGGTCAACAGGTGTTGAATTATAAGAAACAAAAAATGCAACTGAAGCAATTGTAGATTTGGAAAACAACCTCCTGAAACAATACATGAGGGATGAGAAAGGACAACTGATGGCACAACTTCAGGCTAGCAAGATCAGCTTGGGTTCCTAGTGAAACAATGGCCCCATCCATACCATACATTTAAAGCAGTACCATGCCATTTTAAACAGTCATGGTGTCCCCCAAAGAATTCTGGGAACTGTGGTTTGCTATGGGTGCTGAGAGTTGTTAGGAGGCCTCCCCTATTCCACTGATTGAACTATAGTTCCCAGAGTGCTTAAACACTTGCTTATGGTTTTCATTAGGCCTGAGTGATTTATGGAGACCTGCCTATAAAAGAGTAAGTCTGGAATAAGAAGAAAGACAGGAATCTTGAGCACATGGGATAAAGTATCATGGACACAGCCACTGAGGAACACTGCCTAAGAGCTTACAGGTGCTGGGGCTGCTTGTTGAATACAGATACAGGATGACTCCAATCATGCCCCTCGCCTTCTTTACGAGGCATGTGGAGCCCACCCAAAATCGATGCCTAAAACTGTTTTTCTTCAGAAGCAGAATACATACACCACAGCTGTCGCAGAAGTGGGAGACATTAGATCTGTTTGTACTCTCTGCTGCTCAGTCTGTTTATCTCAGTAGGTTTACCTATTTTGTGGGTGGCTTGTAGCCTGCCCTCCTCTCGTCTCCCATTTAGAATCTGCTGGCTGGTCAAAATCCTACTGTCCAAATCAGCAACAAAAGAGACACGAGCCATTTTAGGTCAGACCAATTGCAGCAGTGGGCAGCCCAGCTGGGTTTCTCATCACAGAGAAGGCAACTTTCCTCGAGACTGCAAAATACTCGGCTCATCTCCGATCAAATCACAAAGAAAAAGAATTTTCTCTGTAATAAGCTCCATTTTCCTGAACTGTTAAGGAGGAGCAGGAAAGAAAATTATTCCTCTAGCACTTCTGGAAAACTTTAAGATGTTATTGCTATGGCAACAGTTCCCCCTCACCAGATAAAGTGAGAGGAGACAGAGGAAGATGAAGGGGGGAGTGTGTGTATTTGAGAGAGAGAGAGAGAGAGAGAAAGAAAGAAAGAGAAGATGGTCCATGGAATTTGAATTTTAATGTCCTAGATTTGATCTGCATATCTTAGGTGTCTGCTGTGAATGCCATCATTGATTTTCCTTGTCTCTAGCATAAACAAAATGACAAGAAATGGCTACTAAACCGACAAATAGCTCTGAGAATTTAAATTTTAAAAGATGCTATTTATGATAGTGTAAAAAATAAATAAAAAATAAATCAGGTTCTCTATTCATTGAGGAACACTTCATATGCACTTGAGTTGGCAAAAAAAGCATTACCGTGCAATTGTTATGTGATTGGAGTTGATTTGAATGCTCTCACAAGGATTCCCCTCAATTCTGCGACTCTGTTTTTGTTAAAAGAGACTGTTAAGGAGGTCAAACTACTTGGACATGTTTAACTTGGTGGATTAGAGAGAGAAGAAACGCCCTGGTGCACCTGCAGCAGCAAAAACTGGATGCCTTCACCTGCCCCACCTGCCATAAAACATGTCTCTCCCGTATCAGTCTCTGCAGCCACAGCAGGTGCTATAACTCTCCAGTGGCTTGACTTTCCCTCCAAAGGTGCATTCTTCCATTGTCTCACAAGTCAGGTGGATGCAAACAACAATATGGAAACCAGCTTTTTCAATTATGGTAATGGGACTGTTTTGGAAAGGGGCTTAATCTTTCTCTCCCCACTCCTTAAAGAATGTGCTACTTTGGTTTGCGTAAAGCAGGCATGGGAAAATGGATCCAGTGGGTCAGCCAGAGGCTTGTTCCCCGCCCCCCACTCCCCATGGGCCAACTTTGATAGGGGAGCAAAATCTGGTTGAGTGTTAATGAGATGAATCTCCAGTTTTACAAAATGCCACAAGCTCACTGTGACCTTTTCCCAAAGGAAATGGCAGCCTGGATGAGCACCACCTCCCTCAAACTTTCACTGCTTAGAAGTGGGCTGCGGATGAGCGGCATATTAGAGCACTAGGCAAATTGGTCTGTGCGGCTCACAAGAAGACAAGAGTCCTGTAAACAGGGCAATCTCTGCAAAAGATAATGAATGGCCGCAAATCATGGATTAAAAATGGATACATACAGAAAACAGTCGGAGTATTTCCATCTCCACTGACATTCAACTTAGGGCTTTTTAAAAAAACATCCAAAGGACAGTTGCATTAGGAAGCTGTGGAAATAAGATTTTTCAGGCAGATCAGATATCGTGGCCCTGTCCTTTCATTACTTTCTGGGGCAGGGGGCAAAGTTTATTTCCACCCTAAACCCTCCTACTGGAGAAAGTCACAGGCAAAGCTGACTGTAGTGCATTTATGTGTTGCAGAAAACTATGGGCTGGATTCAGCCACCTGGTCCTGCTGGCAGAAGCCAGCACAAGGCCTCTTGCCCGTGCAACAGGGCTTCCCACACCCTCTGCGAGCCCCCTGTGCCTCCTTCAAGTCCACTCTAGGGGGGTTGGAGAACCATCAGAACAATGGGGGTGGGAGGAGAGGGGAGACCATTGCCCCTTGGGCAGGCACAAATGCAGGGCTGATGGAACAATCTCCTTAGTGCTATTGCTATGTTGCATTCCACCCCATATCTTTCTTGACTCATTACAAACACAGCTGGTCTTATTCCATGTGTGTTAAAATAGTGAATAAACACAAATTAATCCCATGGTTAAAAAGAACGCTGATGCCTTACTGATAAAGAGGGTGTGTGTGTTTTGTGCATGCCAGATATGGTTGTCTGCTTTCAGACCTCAACCAAACGATGCATTTCATTTTTACATCAAAAGTGTCCCTTGTATTACTCTTCCTACATATCCACGTGTGTTTCTTCCCATGTTTAGGCAAAGATTCCCTAGGTTTTTATGCCAGAGCCTTGCTGGGCACATTACACTTTTGGAGAGTTAACACTGTGCTTAACAGACGCTCACTGCTTCTTCTGCTAGTGGGTGGCAGATGACACAGATATGAATATGCCCCAGACTGAAAGGCAAACACCTTGCATGCCAGTCAGGCAAGGGAAGCTAGTGGCAACAGCCAATAGCAACACTGATGCAGCATTTCAAAGACATTCAAGCAACCCACACTGAACTCAGCAGTAAAAAACAACGACGAGCAGGTCTGAATTATTTCACACAACCCTCTCTGCCCTCCCAGCTTGTTTCTGCAAGTTTCTTTCAACAGCTGCTACTTCTAATACAGTTATTTACTGAAAAAAAGATCCACAATATTCCTTTTTGAGGAAAAGGAAATATATTCTGCCCAATTCATTACCCAAAACTTGCAGTCTGTTCACTGTCCCTGCTTTGCACCAAGGAAAATTCTCCTTCCCCTCTGCATCTCATTTACTCTCTTCTCTTTAGGCATGTTACTTGAACATACCCTGAACATGTGCAACAGAGATAGGATTGTGCTTATTGGCCTTGATCCTCTTATGCGTGTTCAGCATAATGTTGACACAGAGACACATTCAATTTTTAAAAACGATATTTGTAATTGTGCCTACCTCTAAAATGCAAGAAATGGGTGTTCTGTTTGCTTTGGTATTGATCCAGCCTTTTACAGCAATGGCTTTACATCTGCAGGTGAATTCTTCCACCTCCCTTTCAGAATCTACACCGAATGCCAAAAATTATGGATGATTTCTTCCTGCTGCCAAAGAATTTCTGCTCCAGAGATGTTTACCTAGAAGTAAGTCCCACTGATTTCAATGTGGCTTACTTTCTAGTAATGACACATAGGATTTCAGGGTAAGAAGCATAGATAAAAGATCTTTAATGGGAAACAAAGGGGAATCAGACCAATCAAGCCTTTCAAGGGTTAATCTCAGTCTTGGTGGAACATTCTTATTCAGAGGCTAAGCTTTGCCGCTGGAGGGGAATTTTACAAATAAACTTGCAAGCTTTGCAGATCAATTTTCTACTTGGTTTTATCACCCTGTTTCTCTCTTAATCAGCCCCTGCTGCCTGCCTGCCTCTCTTCCAGACACATTTTGAAGGCTCAGTGCCATATCTGAAACAATACGAGCCCCTCTGTTCCTTTCTTCTGTAGTGCTTGAAACCACATTGGTGGCATTTGTATTATCATCAGGAGTATTTAGGAATAAACAGCTTTCAAAAACAATACTCCAGGGCTCCAGCAGTGAAGAGCATGTGGCACAGACCTTGGCTGCCTGAACGCTCTGCAAGCATTTAGATGGTAATAATATTACATTACAACAGAGGCAACAGCCATATAAATAATTGTGTATTGTCTTTACTCATTGATTTTTTTAAAACACATAGCCTTGGCTGAAAAAATTGATTAAAAGAAATACTACTGTTACTAATAAAAACCCAGACAACCATAATGTAATGAACTGTAAATTGAAACAATAGGTTACTTAGTGGCAAAGAGAGGAAACTCATTTAATAAGAATTAGAAGGGATGAAAGGGGTGCTTTGATTTGTCAGCACCTAACTGGGAATACAAATATGAGAAGCAAAGGTGGTCTAAATGGACAAGGAGACATGAGGTCACATCTGAGGGCGTAATGTTTCTTAAAATCGGTGGAACTAAAATTATTCTGCACATGCATAAGAAACCACAAAGCTTCTTGAAGAGCTTCTGATGAATAGGTGTCAGAAACCTGGTACAGTGGTACCTGGGGTTAAGAACTTAATTCGTTCTGGAGGTTCGTTCTTAACCTGAAACTGTTCTTAACCTGAGGTACCACTTTAGCTAATGGGGCCTCCCGCTGGCGCCACACTGCTACCATGCGATTTCTGTTCTCATCCTGAAGCAAAGTTCTTAACCCGAGGTACTATTTCTGGGTTAGCGGAGTCTGTAACCTGAAGCGTATGTAACCTGAAGCGTCTGTAACCTGAGGTACCACTGGACTGGAGAGGGTTTTTTTGCAGTATGGTAGGAAGAACAGTTTACTGGATGTATGTATATTATATAAGCACATACATACACGCTGCAGCAAATTCCCAAAGGTTTTTCATGCCTACACACTAAGACTTCTTTAATGATGCTGAAACATCCTGCATAATATCTTTAGTGACCATATTCTGTACCAAAAACACTCAAGAAAAGACATCTGTTAAATCATGATAAAATATCAAAGAGCTTAAAAGAATTAATCTCTCTTTACAGTCGTACCTCAGGTTACAGACGCTTCAGGTAATCGCATGGTGGCAGTGTGGCGCCAGCGGGAGGCCCCATTAGCTAAAGTGGTACCTCAGGTTAAGAACAGTTTCAGGTTAAGAACGGACCTCCAGAAGGAATTAAGTTCTTAACCCTAGGTACCACTGTATTGGTATCTTGAAAGACAGGGTATTCTGGAAGAGGGCGAGGCTGGCTTGCTGAAATCCTGATTGTGAGCGCTCCACATTGCAACTTTTTGCCACACTTAGAGAATCCAACAATTAGCAACCATAGTGGTTTTTCCAAAGAACAGTTGCTAGGGGTGCAAACTTGAATAATATATTTGGGGGGGGAGGCACCAGATAAGCCCCACCCTGCATCCTTAATCTCATGACGTGACATGCACGCAACATTTGAATGGCAATGCCCATCAACTTTGAGGGCTCCGTTCCCTTTAAATATATTATTGGGGGTGCAAAAGGACCTTGGCCCCTAGGAACTGGCTCCTATGCTAGGGAGAATCTAATAGCAAAGAAAAAGAAATATTTTACAACATTGGAAAGCAAGGTGAATTCCACCCATTGAATCATGGAGTAGTTAGATCTGGCTATTAAAGAAAAGGTGGCGCATGGTAGGAAGACTGGCCCTGACAGTTTCAAATCAACCTATCCCCATTTTTCTGGAGCTATATAAAAAATAAAGGAAGAGGAGGCCAGAAGACCACTTTTGACACAAATTCCCTTACTATCTAGTTTCCTTTCCTTTTCAAAATGGGCTGAAATTAAGGGCATGCGATAGAAAAGGGGGGTAAATTAAGAGGGAGAGAGGAAATCAAAATGAAAGCAAGAGAAGAAAAGGAATGCTAATGAGGGATAATGGGTGCAAACTGTTTATCATATTTAAAACTAAAACATTTAAATAAAATACATACAAATACATAATCTCTTGCTCCTCTTTTTACTCCTAAACCAATAAAAGGCATCCAAGGATAGCTGCAGCGTTCCAGTTCTATCATTAATATGACTTCTGTCTGCATAAGATGTTAGAATTACTTCAGGGCTAATTAGTGGACTAGTGTTTTCTATGTAATACAATGTGGAACTAATAAACACATCAATAATTCCAGCTCTAAAGTTTTCAAGAGGCCAGGCATATGAACAGTTCTTGCAAACACAGTATCATGCAGCTGGGAGTAGGGTGGAGACAACACTCACGATCTAATTTGCCATCCATCTTTGGATTTCCTTTCTTACTAGCTACAAAGGTGTGCGTAAAGCAGAAAGCAGGGCCATCTTTACCCAAGGGTCAAGGGGTGCGGGGCACCGGGCGCCCAACGCTGAAACCGCCTAAGGTCTTAACTATCTACCTGTTATGAAATAATAAGTAATTTTGATTAAGCTAGGAAAACAGAAGGCATATATACCTAGAAATTACCGAAATGTATACCTACTGTTTCACTAAAGGACTTTCGACTTTGTGCGCTCATTTACCAAAGAGGCGTCATTCACAACGGCACGCTTTAATTCATCACTTACAGTTCAAATTCGTTTAGAGAAATCGTTAAAAAAGTGTGTTTCTTTTTCCTCCCTTCTATCATAAACAAGAGATAAGGTGTAAGCGTGGTGTCTGACATAAGCATAATAAAAGTTAATTTGGGGGCTAAACTAAATTTGGGGGTGCTGAGTGGATCTTTGCACCCCGGCGGCGCCTATGCTAAAGACGGCCCTGGGAGGAAGAATGGGGAATCTTTTTCTGTCAAGGGCCATATTCTGGGAAGTTACCTGCAAGGGGAGAATGACAGTGCTGGGTGGGGCCAGAGACAAAAAATGGTTGGAGTTTTCAAGCATTGCATTTCATAGCGCTCCCTCTCTCTCTCCCTCCCCCCCCCCCAGCCTCCCGTTTCTGTCTCCCTCCATCCCTCCTTCTGTCTCAGCTCCCACTTATTTCCAGGGGCATACCTAGGGGTTGGCCAGGATGGCCCCTGTCATGGGTGCAGGCCTAGGTGGGATGCAAAAACTGCGCCTCTCCACTCTGGCTCAGAGTGTCTAGGAGCCCACCCACCCAGCTGATCTGGGTGGCCAGATGAGGTGCATAGGCTTCTCTGGGCCCCTCCCTAACAGGGCTCCAAGGGGGCAAGGCACGGGGTGTGGTCAATGGAGCTCCTTGCCAAGGGCACAAGGGAGCCTAGGTACAGCTCTGCTTATTTCCTCCCCCTCCATTAAGACAGGTCACAGATGGTAGGCTCCTCAGAACAAGGATCTAGTATCTTGGACCCAAAGTGCAGTAGCCTGATGGCACTATACAAAATTAAGGAATGAGATTCACCTAGGAAACTCCATCAGTGGAAGCCCTCAATAATCATAATCATAACCATCATTATTTATTTATTTATTTATTCATTCATTCATTCATTCATTCCTTCCCTGCCCATCTGGCTGGGCCTCCCCAGCCGCTCTGGGCAGCTTCCAACAAAATATTAAAATACAGTAATGCATCAAACATTAAAATTTCCCTAAACAGGGCTGCCTTCAGATGTCTTTTAAAAGTCTGGTAATTGTTTTTCTCTTTGACATCTGGTGGGAGGGCATTCCACAGGGCAGGTGCCACTACCGAGAAGGCCCTCTGCCTGGTTCCCTGTAACTTGGAATCTTGCAGTGAAGGAACAGCCAGAAGGCCCTCGGTGCTGGACCTCAGTGTCCAGGTAGAACGATGGGGGTGGAGACAAGGTCTTTGGCTTATGCAATCCACCTTTCCTCCCCCTCCCCACCCTCTGAGCCTTAAATTGTTTTGGGGGGGATGGAAGAACCCCCAGAATAACATGCAGGGTAAGGAGAGGGCAGATTGTTTCTATCTGGCAAGCTGAAATGCTTGCAGAGATGAAACATTTGTAATAGTGTGACGTTGAATTCCATCCAATATTATTAGTAGACATTAATGACCACACAGTGATTTGAATACAATTTGTGTTTCCAGCTCATACTCATACAACCATCTTTTCACTAAACCATCCAAACACATATATGGAGAAGGGAAGAAATGTACTTCTGTGCATACCGTTAAGGCTAATTATGGAAGAAACACCTTAGAACAACGGCTGCCACATCTGTTTTCCTCTGTGCTAAGATATTACAAGTATAGCAAGAGAGAGAATCTATGCTGCCATTATTTTTCCTGCATACGTTAAAGATTTTTTTAAATAAAAAAAACCCTCGGGCTTATTTCTTTCAGGTATACACCTACACAACTCCCTTCTCACTACAATAAGTCATTAATTTAATTTTCAATTTGTTCGATGCACAGATTCTTATGCAACCATAGATTTCGAGAGTTGGCCCACAGATTCCACTGTGTTGATGTGTCTCTCCCTCCTGAAAAACAGAAAAGCTCAGATACAGTAAGGCAGTGTGGGCTGGGACCCACCAGTGAGACTTGGGTCACATACTGGTGGGCCTCAGTGCCACTGCATGCCCAGTGCCTCCTCACTTGCCTGCCTAGTCTCCTAGTCAGCACCAATAACCCCTTCCTTGCCGAGTAAAGGTGGCCAGGAGTTAGAGAAGATTGGTGTGTCGCTGTGTAGGTAGGGAAAAGGGCCAGAGGAGGTGTTGGAGGAAATTAGAAAGTGACATATTTATTTATAATAATAATAATAATAATAAACAAACAAACAAACAGGGAAAGTAAGTAAGGGGAAAACAGAGGAAAGCTGTTATAGGAGGAAGACGTGCATGTGAAAGGACTAGGGAGGAGGAATAAAAGAAACTGACAGTTTGGGGGGGTGAGCAGCAATAGGGCACAACTTGAGCATGGATGGAGAAAGAGGAGAAGAAATTACAGCAGTGGATGCAGGAAGGGGGAAATAGAAAATAACAAAACCTGTTTAGGGAAGCTTTTAATGTTTGATGCATTACTGTATTTTAATATTTTGATGGAAGCCGCCCAGAGTGGCTGGGGAAGCCTAGCCAGATGGGCGGAGTATAAATACTAAATTATTATTATATTATTATTTTCCACTTACCGCCTCTAGATCAACAAATTCTGCCTAAAATGGGAAGCCTTAGCAGGAGCAAAAGTCTGTACTTAGCTTGAGGAAAGGTGAGCTATGGAACTCCTTGCCACAAGGGAAACACTGTGGCAAAGAATGTAACTATTCCCAAAGATGGAATCTCATCAGAAGTGACATCAGTAACTGCCAGCTGATTATATGCCAAATTCTGCCTGCACCTGCTACCATTTTGTGACTGGCTCTGCCCCTGCACCACCATTTTGTGGCCGATAGGCCTCAGTAATTTTCAGCTGTCTCAAGTGGGCCCTGGAGGTAGAAAGTTCTAAAACCCCTCCACTAAGGCACGTTAGAATATTCATTGGCAGAATCAGCACTATCCATTTTCCTCAGCTAAGGTTTATTTCCCAATTAATGATTTCTGCTTTACAGAAGAATTAATCTGCATAGCCCTAAGAAAGTGTGAACATTTCATTCTTGGAGAAGTTCTTTTCATTTGGCAAAATGTAATGATC